TAACCAGACTTAGTTTTTAAGCTGTTATTGTTGAAATAACAGCCTTGAAATTTAATTCATATTACTTGATGTATTTCTCATATTCAAGGAAAATGAAAAATTTAGATCTAAATATTCTGGAGAGTTGGCTGATTAAGTGCCAGTTTGCTTAACTATATTTCTGAAAACATACTGAATGACTTCCCTGGTGGTCCAGTGGCTAAGAATCCACACTTCAGTGCAGAGGGCACAGGTTTGATGCCTGGTTGGGGCACTCTGATCCCACACACCGCACACATACTGAATGAACAGAAAGAACTGTAGGGTGAGGGTATATAATCCCTACTGAAGATCCTCTCATGTTCCTCTTCTAACTTTTTTTGCTGCACTGCACAGCTTGCAGAATCCTACTTTCCCAACCAGGGATCTAATGATGTTCCAGCATTGAGAGCATGACGTCCTAACCCCTAGACCATCAGGGAATCCCCAGGTCTTCTAACAATCTTAATGTGGAAAAATCTAGGCTTTGTGAGAGATGGAGTGGGGATACTGAAATCATTATGCCCTTGCCCCACCAAAGAAAGTCCCAACTGAAGGAAAAGAGCAACACTGCCATTCTGTTCTTCTTTTCATCAGTATGATTTTCTCAAAAGGATAGTCAGATTTTGTAGGAAAGGAAGATAGTATTGTTCTACGTAATCTTTGCAGTTGTGTACTGGAGTCAGTGAAGCAGAGAGGAACGTGTGTGTTAACTCATTGAGCAAGGTACTTGAACTAAATTGCCTTACATTGAATTAGTCTCTCTTCATCTTGGTCTGTTTTGACCAGCAAGGATGTACGTAAAAGCCAGCAAACTGAAGGAACTTTCAAATATGTAGTGACCCAGGTATACAAAGTCTGAGAAGTTAAGAATCCAGTATATTCTTGAGCATAGTAGTACTTATAAAACTGTCATAATTAGCAGGTTGAAAAAAAGCTTCTTTGTTCTTTTAAGAAGATTAAAGTAAGCAATAGACTTTGAGATAAGGGATCAAAGATAAACTGCTGAAATAACAACAAGATGAAAAGGAAGCTGACAGAACTAAGGGGGAAAAAAAAGGGACAAGCAGTAATCTTGGAGAAGTTAACTCATTATTGACCAGAGACATATTAATATGTCTTTTGTTACCTGAACATTACTGACGGGAGACCTTTCAAGTATTCACTTGCATAACAACTTGCGGGCCACAGGTGTTTCTGCAAAAATCCCCTGGTCAATAATGTATTGAGAGCATGTTGGCAATAGCCAGAAATAGAGCAGGTACTATGGAAAATGGAGACATGTAAGAGAAGAGAAGGACAAAGAAGGAATTAGTAGATGGTAGGTAAGGAGGACAAATGAACAAAGATTGGGTCAGTCCAGCAGGTCTTAATAGCTTAAAGCTCTTGATATAATTACTACCTAAATGGGCATTTCGGAAGAGAAAGTTAAATGCTAAGATCAACCCTATAGAAGTAAACTTCAAGAATGAAGAAACGTTGAATATATGTCAGTTGAAAAATGATTTGAATTATAAAATGAGAATTATTTTTACTGAAGACTTCAGTAACAACAGGTACCAGAAGAAATGGAGGTTGTCATGGGTAGGATTTTGGCTAAAATGAGCATTTGAATGCAATTAAACATTTTAGGGACTTCCCTGGTGGTCCAGTGGTTAAGAATCCACCTTGCGGTGCAGGGAACATGGATTTGACCCCAGGTCACATGCCACAGAGAACTAAGCCCTTGTGCTGCAACTACTGACCTCTTGCACCACAGTGAAAGATCCTGCACAATACAACAGAAGATCCATGTGCCAAAGCTAAGGCCTGAGGCAGGCCAATAAATTCTTTAAAACCCAACATTTTAATTATGTCTAAGTAATTAGGGCTGTCAGGCTTAGAAATAGAAAGCAGTTTTTACTGTTCTTGAAAGAAAAACTATATAATGTAAAAACAATGTAATTAGTGAAAAAATTATGTAAAATGGTAATCAACTGGGAAGAGTTCTGGGAAGTTCCAACCTAAACTATAGAGTGTAGGGTATTATATAAGGACAATCAATATATTATTTACAGTTGGCAAAATTGGTTTAAATACCCATTTTAAGGTATGTCTATAAAAATAAATTAACTTCAGTGTCTTTCCAAAGAACCATAGCAAAGTCTTTGGTGGACAGAGCATGTGATGAATAAAACTAAAAATTTTAAATGTTACATTTCTGTAAAATGGAACTTAATTAAATGAACAAAATTTCTTGGCCTGCCTGCTATGACCAGCAATATGAGTTGATTTTTCAGTTCTCCATTATGTTTACCTGGGCTGTATTTGAAAGTTATTTGCCTTCTAGAATGGACCAAAAACTATAAACTATAATATAATATAAATAAACTATAACATAAATATAAATATAAACATAACAGACAACTTAAATATAAATATATAATATAAATATAAATATAAACTATAATATATTGCCATCATTAAGAAATGGTCCTAAAGAAATTCAGATTTATTATTAATTATCATTAAGAAGTTATTCTTTATTCTCTAAAAAGAAATTGAGCTTACAGATACTAGGGCTACTACAGTAATAAAATAGTCCTCATGGGGTTTACATTCTAGTAGGGAAAACATAAAATAGTGATTACAGAAATGGCAATCCACTCCAGTATTCTTGCCTGGAGAATTCCATGGACAGAGGAGCCTGGTGAGCTATAGCTCACAGGGTCACAAAGAGTTGGACACATCTGAGCTACTTTCACTTTATCTTTCGCAGGAAAAGCATAAATAGTGATTACAGGGTTAGTAATGTGATTTGTTACACAGGAGTACAAATACTGTGAGGATGTAATACAAGGGAGCCTTACCTAATTGGAAGAGGAGGAACTGTCAAAGAAGATTTAAGGAGGTAAGGTTTAAATTGATGCCTTTAAGGTAGAAGGAAGTGTTTCAGTAGTTGAAACACCCTTCAGTAGTGACTAGCATTTGGCTTAAAATTAAATGGAGCCCCTGCTTTCTTCTTACTGCACAAAAATAATTTCCACGTAAATCAACAGTTTTAATGGAAACAGTTTAAAGAAAGGGCCAAATCATGAGTGAATTTCTAAAGTCTTTGCATATAGAGATAATTTTTAAAAGTTTATGAAATCCATAAATCACAACAGTGTTGCATGGTAAATTTGCCTACATAAAAATTAAAAGTGGTAGTTAAACACCGTTAAACAATTTTCAAAGGCAAGTTAGAAACTGGGAAGAAAGCAGTCCATAAAACAAAGGATTACTCTTCATTTACATGCTGAACTCATAAACTGAATAGCAGTATCTTCACAGAAAAATATATTCAGCTTCCCTGATAAAAAAGTACAAGTCTAGATATATTTCCCCCATCAGATGGAGCAGGATTTAATTTAGGATTGTCTGTATGTGGAACATCTCTAAATATCTTTTAGTATAAGGTTGGTAAAGTATATTATAGTATATACCTACAGAGAAATATTATGCAACAGTGAAAAATAATGTAGCTCCATGCTCATGGACAAAGGTGTTGTTACATATTATTTAGTGAAGAAAGCAGGTGATAAGCCTGGGATGTGAGATTATATCAAATGTGCACATGTCTATTTGTGTTTGCATAGAATGCTGTCTAGACTGTTCACCAAAGTATTAGTTGTTCATTTTCAAGTTTTGGATGACTGGAGTTTATGTTTTCTTGTGACCACAATTTTTTCTTTTTTAAATAAAAGGGTTAATTGGTATACCTATTCATATTTAGTGTTTTCTTCATATGTTTCAACTTTTCAGATAAAACTTATATCTTAGGTGTTTTTCAAAGATAACTTTTGTAGAAAAGCATTTGATTTATCTGCTCTGTATATTTTGATTAGCTGCATCATCAGAGACAACTTCATATGCGTTCCACTTTTATATTAATAATATGTTGACATTTTGATTGATAACACGACCATTTCATTGAAACATAATTGTAGCCAAAGCATTTATAAAAGGATATTTATTTGTGTTTAGAGAGTGATGGTGGTTCTCATGAGTGATGTTCTGGAGATGCAGTTAATGCTTTGACACAGTGCCTGAACAAGACTTTCATGAAAACTATTGGGAAACTCTTTTGAGTATCTATTAATCAGATTCCATGTTAACATTTTTGCTGATTAAATTGAAAGTTTTTTCTTTAATCTCTTGCTTTTCTGTTTAGAATATTAAGATATTTCAGGAGACCAAAGACCATGTCTTAACTGGGTTAATGGGAAACATTGTGCTAAGTATTTACCCCTATCTTCTGTCAAGATGTTTACAGTTTAGTTGAAACTCTCTAGCCTAGTACTTGCAATACTATGCTTTTGATAGCTTAGTGAACTACTTCTGTATATATAGATAAATACTTTATATGAAAAAATCAATATATAGATTATTTGATATAAAAACTTTTAAATTTATACTTTTTTGTTTCCTCCTCCTTCCCCTGCCCTAATAAATTAAAAATAATTTTCAAAGAATATTTAGAAAGCAAGTCTTTTGGAAAGAGACACATGTAATAGTTTCATTTTTAAATGATGTGTGGGATAAAGTATGCTTTGTGGGTAGTTTACTTGCTAGTATATTTAAACTGGTAGAACTAAAATTATTAATAAAATTAATTCATAGCCTAGCCTATTAAAACACACTCTTCATAAGGTACCATTAGAGATAATACAACTTTTATTCTTAGATTTTAGTTGTTGTGCTGTTAATATACTAATATCTTAACTTCTCAGGATAAAAACAAAGTAAAAAATGTTGAAATAGCAAAAATTCTATCTGCTTTCCTATACATATACTTCTGTTTGCTACAGTTTGTAGCCATACAACACATTTTCTCTGAGCAAGAAAGAATATGGTCTTGGTTTAATTCACTTCATTGCTTTTCCCTATAGAAAATCAGGTTTTTGAGAGCTCTAACAATGTGCTGTTACAGGGCTCTCATCCTTTCTGTTTAAATAATGCAGGTACTTTGATGGAAACCTGGAAAAGCTCTTTGCTGAGTGTCATGTAATTAATCCAAGTAAAAAGTCTCGAACACGCCAGATGAATACAAGGTCATCAGCACAGGATATGCCTTGTCAGATCTGCTACTTGAACTACCCTAACTCGGTGAGTATCTGGTAGTTTAAGGCCAGCACTGCTGACTCTACTTCGGAGCGTAAATTGACTTTTCATTATTTCAACAAAGGCAGTTCTGGGAGTCTGGGATTGTAGCAAAGCAGTAACCTGTCCATATATTAAGAATAAAGAAGAGTGAGAGTTTGTCTCTCAGCCCCTCCCCATCCTCATTTGCTTTTTAAAGCTGCAACTTGTCCAAGTTGTCATTACACACCTAAATCTTTTTATTTTACCTCTATGGGAGAATTGTGTAATAGGTAGGCAGCAAATAGAATTATTTTTATCCAAATTAAAACAGATTTAAAACTAAGTTTTTAGAATATCCAACACACTTACAAAATGTCTTTAATGCTATTTCACTAGGGAGCTTTCAGGACTTTTCTTAACAAAAGATTTTCACACATTCAGATCCATTCCAACAGCGATTCTTTAGTACATGTATCCTTCTTAAAACCTATTGTATTTAGATGATTTACTTTGACTTATCTAGTGAAGAAATGTTATGCTTAAATAAACACAGTCTTCCTATGAAAGCACTTTATTAGTAACCATAGAAAAATTACATTTGTGGCCAAAAAAATGTATTTAGTTACTCAGAATTCACCTCGTAAGATGTTTAAAATATCTAAGGCTAATTTAATTCTACAATTATAACCATCTTGTTCATATTCTGTACTATAATAGTTCAGCAGCTTTTTCTAGTAATTAGTATATACCTGGTCTTTGTCTCCAGTATTACATATTTTAACGTATTGAAGGTTTTTTGTTATTAATCTTAGAATTTGACATGTGTACCTTTAAACATTCTCATTTGAAGGAAGTTAATTTGTTCGCACATACAAGTGCTTAGAAGAGTTTTAAAAGAAAGTTAATTATATAGTTTTAGAGAAGTGGAAAATCAGAGTTAAAATAATTTAGTAGGAGCATTTCTTTGGTGGTCCAGTGCTTAATACTCATACTCCTCATTCCCAGTGCAGGGGGCACAGGTTTGATCCCTGGTCAGGGAACTAAGTTTCCATATGCCACATGGTATGGCCTAAAAAATAAATCAATTGATTTAAATTTAAAATTTTCAGTCAAAAAAATTTAGTAGGTAAAATACTAAATTGAATTTCCAGATTTTCAAGTCATTCTTAATTTATTTTCAAATTAAAAAGAATTTTTTTGGCCTTGCCATGTGATGTGCAGGATCTTAGTTTCCTGACCGGGGGTCAAATCCTTGTCCCCTACAGTGGAAACATGGAATTTTAACCTCTGGAGTGCCAGGGGAAGTACCCCATATTCTCAGTCACAGCTGTAACACTAGCTTTTTGGCTTTGGGTAATAAATGATTTAATCTGGCTGAGTCTCAGGTTTTTTTAACCTTTCAAATAAATTGAATAAGATTGTTACAAATCGCTTGTCAGCCTGAAACTATATTCATTTCTCTACTTAAATCAACAATCCTAACTTAAGTATTTAAAAAGAACAGTCAGCACTGCTATTAAAAATACATTAGTTTTGTGTTTTGACCATTTTATTATGTTTTAACGGATTCTCTTTACCAGTTGACATTTATATAGTGTATGTAGTTTATAAATGGTTCTATGAGGTAATACTAAGACTCAAAAAGTTTGTTCTGGATTATATAAGGTTTCCTTACTCCTTGGCATTTCCCTTCCTGCACTCTTAACAGCCAGATCCTCTTTAGTATAAACCTTAAATGTAAGTACTGAAGCTAGCTGCTCACAAATATCTGCTATAAATTTCTCAGTGCCCTTGGTATTGTCTGACAGTCTGAACAAGTTAGAATTGAAAATCAAGTAGATATTTGCAGTGTAGATTGTGCTATACTTATAACTGATAGTGGAGGAAACAGTCTTCATTTATTCAGCAGACTCGACACAGTGCTAGCTTCAGAGAAAGTAGTTGAAAGGTGAGTTTGGAATTAGCAATAAGAAGTTGACTGATGATCCTGAAAAGTAATTTTAAGTATTATGGTAAGATGGGAAACCCAAACTACAAGAGCTGAAGAGTCATTGACTTGAAGGTGGGAAAGGAAGTTGAGGCAATCAACATAAATTAGTCTTTCAAAGGAAGTTTTGCTTTGTAAGTGACAGAACAAGAAAGTAAACAGCAGCATTGGTTGGAAGGTAAGTTAAAAGTGTTATGGAAACTGTGCCAGGTGTTAGGGAAAAGTAATCTTGGTAAAACTAGGACTTCTTTTCTCACAGTTTTTGGGCTAATAAAGGATAGTTTTAACCTTTTCAGTTTTTCTAGTGAATGCCACCTGAGATTTTTCATTTAGGCTTTATTAATTGTATGAATGGTTTCTTTACTTACATTATTTACCTGACTCCCAAGTATCAATTTCCACTACTCTTCAAACACTGATAACTTGCCTTTTATTATTGTTTATCTTCAATATGTTTATCCTTCTAGAAAGCAACTTTGCTTTATATAGTGCCACATGAAAACAGGTTTTTAAGTAAATGCTTCTGACACCTTGGTTTATATAATTGATATTTTGGAGCTATTTTGGGTGGTCTCTTCCTTAAAAACAATTTCCTGAGATTTTGGAACACTCTTTTAAGTTCAGAGATTCCTTCTCTGTCCCCCTACCCCCTTGGGTTGTGTCCAGTTCAGGAATTTCTTAGCCTTGGCAACAGTTACTTTATATAATAATATTATTTTCAATTAAAGCATAAGATTTAGCTCTACTAGGAAATATAGCTTGAGCTATCATTTTTATGAAGTAAATCATTTTATACTTTCTAAGAATAAGGTATATTAAATAGATAAAAGCAAAATGAAAGATCGTGAGAGTTGCCACCCTCTTTTTGCTTTACCTTTGGACATGTATGTGTGATTTATTTTTCTAATTTATGTTGTTTAGTCTTGTTACCTGTTTAATTAAAAAAGTTATTGGAAAGGGAAAAAAACCTTTGTTTTTGTCTTTTTATCTTATCTTAGAAGAGCCCCGGCGTAAAAGTCCCCAAAAGCAGAGGTGTTACCTATAGAGATCACTGAGTAACCATGTGGCCTTTAATCTGTCAGTCTTTGAAAAAAGAGTCAAGCACGTGAGGATGTGTTTGTGGTTTTAGGTTATGAATAAGACATTTTAGAATTGCTGATACGACTTTATTATATTTGTTCTTTATAGAATGCACCCTCATTATAATATCAAAAATCGAATACTCTCCTTTAGTAAACTGGCAGTGGGTTAATGCCAGAACTCCTTCACTGTTGTGAGTAGTAATAAGAATCGATTCTTTTTATTTCTCAGATCTTTTGTTTTTGGATGAGAATATTGATTTCCAAAATATTTATCTTCACTTATTTTTGACTTGGGTAGAATCATTGTCACTCTCTGAATAGTAACATTTTAACCTTGATATTTTCCATGTTATTTGGTCTGTAAAACCAGTATCAGGACTCTGAACTATTTTCTTCCCCAGCTACTTTCCAAGTATATTTTATATAGTTGGTATGCTATAATATTGTATCTTATTTGCATTTATATCTCAAAAGCAATATCAGGAATTTTGTAAGCATATCTCAAGTAACAGCTAATTAGAAAATGTTATAGAATTTAAAATGCCACTTTAATAAGAGCCACAGAATGAATAAAGGAGCTGAGAATAAACTTGGCAAGAAATATGAAAGACCTATATGAAAGAAAGGGGAGATGAATGACAAATATTTGGAAAGATAGAATATTAGTGAAATAAAGCAAAGAGTAGATTGATGAGGGTAGAGAGGAAGCTAGCTAGTCTTACCAAATTCAAGAACAGGCAGTGCAGTGAAGCAGAATAGAGTCGAGTATTGTTTAGTTGCTCAGTCATGTCCGACTCTTTGCCACCCCATGGCCTGTAGCCTGCCAGGCTCCTCTGTCCATGGGATTTCCCAGACAAGAGCTGGAGTGGGTTACCATGTCCTTCTCCAGGGAATCTTCCTGACTAAGGTATCAAACTTGGATCTCTTGAACTGGCAGGCAGATTCCTTATCACTGAGCCACCAGAGAAGCCAGAGTCAAGTGTATTTGTGGAGAATTTAATATACAACAGAGATGGCATTCCTTTAAGGAGGGTTATTTGATAAATGGTGTTGGAACAACTCGACAGACATCTGGAAACTTAGATTTCTACCTTACTCCTTATATCAAAATTAATTTAGGACTCTTCTGGTGGTCCAGTAGTTAAGAATCTGCCTGCCAGTTCAGGGGACACAGATTTGATCCCTGGTCTGGAAGATTCCACATGCCACGGGGCAACTAAGCCTATGAGCCGTAACTGCTGGAGCTCTTGCACCTTAGAGCCTGTGATCAACGATGAGAGAAGCCACCACATTGAAAAGTCCATGTGCTGCAACTAGAGATGCCTGTGCTCAGCGCCAGAGACCCAGTGCAGCCCCCAGCCCCCCCAAAAAGCACAACTTTTTATTTTTTTTCCAGGTTTAAAAATTTATTTGCACATATTGAAACAAAATAATCTTTTTTAACTAGTTTTTCCTTTGTATGTCTTTTTTAAAAAATTTTTTTTTATTGAAGGATGATTGCTTTACAGAATTTTGTTGTTTTCTGTCAAACCTCAACATGAATCAGCCACAGATATACATATATCCCCTTCCGTTTGAATCTCCCTCCCGTCTCCTGCCCCATCCCACCCCTCTAGATTGATACAGAGCCCCTGTTGGAGTTTCCTGAGCCATACAACAGATTCCTGTTAGCTGTCAATTTTACATACGGTAATGTAAGTTTCCATGTTACTCTTCCCATCCATCTCTCCCTCTCCTCCCTTCTCCCCATGTCCATAAGTCTATCACAACTTTTTTTAACTTAAGAAGAAACTAATTTAGAGGCCATGGATTCTAAAGCTGATACATTTTGCTATATATGAACAAAGAGCTTCTGCACAGCAACAAAATGTATTGAAACTGGGAGAAAATATTTTCCACACTTAAAAACAGTCAATTTTCTAAATAAGTAAAAAAAAAAATACAAAAACAGTAAAATATTTAGAAAAAATGTCTAGAGGAAAATTTGGCAAAATAGGTGAAGAAAATACACAGAAAAAGAAATACACAGCCTTAAATCTTATTTCAAATTTTTAAGCTTCACTCAAAAGAAGAAATTAAAATCAAAACTATTGGTAGTTAGTTCATTTTCACCTGTTACTGGCAAAGATCAAGGAGTTTAAGTGTTCTGGCATGTCAGAAAGATAAAGACCATTACAGTATACTAACACATATATATGGACTTTAGAAAGATGGTAACGATAACCCTATATGCAAAACAGAAAAAGAGACTCAGATGTATAGAACAGACTTGTGGACTCTGGGAGAAGGCGAGGGTGGGATGTTTCAAGAGAACAGCATTGAAACATGTATATTATCTAGGGTGAAACAGATCACCAGCCCAGGTTGGGTGCATGAGACAAGTGCTCGGGCCTGGTGCACTGGGAAGACCCAGAGGGATCGGGTGGAGAGGGAGGTGGGAGGGGGGACCGGGATGGGGAATACATGTAAATCCATGGCTAATTCATTTCAATGTATGACAAAAACTACTGTAATGATGTAAACTAATTAGCCTCCAACTAATAAAAATAAATGGAAAAAAAAAAAGATTAGGCCAAAATGTTACTATTATTCTAATTATTCAAGTGTTACCACTATTCTGAAGAAGTATTTTGGTTTCCATAAGGTTTTATTTCCTAGGTTAGGTATATTCCAGTGCAGCTCCATGAAGTGTGGTATCTGTGTGGCATTTTAGAAATAACACCTTTGGGAGCTCCCTGGTAGTCCAGTGGTTAAAACTTGGTGCTTTCATTGCCGTGGTCCTGGGTTCAATTCCTGGTCGGGGAACTAAGATCCTGAAAACCAAGCAAGCAGTATGGCCAAAAAATAATAATAAAGTAACAGCTTTATTGAGATGTAATTCACATGCCATACAACTTGCTTATTTAAAATGGTCTTAAGCAAAAACAAAACAAAAAAAAAATAAAATAAAATGGTCTTAAGCATAGTCACAGAGTTGTGTAGCCATCACCACAATTCATTTTCAAACATTTTAATAATCCTCCAAAGACCATTATCTTTTTATAGTCACTTCCTGTTCCCCTCAAGCTTGTTAGCCTTAGGCAACCACAAATCTACAAGTGAAATCAAACAATATGTGGTGTTTTGTGATTGGTTTATTTCACTTAGAATGTTTTCAAGGTTTGTCCACATTATAGAATGTGCTTTACTGCTTTTTATGGCTGAATAATTTTCTGTTATGTGGATATTCCACATTTTGCTTATTTATCAGTTGGTGGACATTGGAGTTGTTTCCAGTTTGGAGTTATTGTGGCTAATTCTGCTGTGAACATTTGTGTACAAGTTTTTATGTGGGTATATACCTAGCAGTGGAGTTGCTGAATCGTTTGGTAATAACTTAATTTTTTGAGAAACTGCCAGTGTTTTCCACTATTCCTGTACATTCCCACTAGAAGTGTTTGAGGGTTCTGATTTCTCCATATTCTTGTCAGCACTTTTATTGTGTCTTTTTGATTATAATTGTCCTAGTGGGTGTGAAGTGGTGTCTCATTGTGGCTTTGATTTACCTTTCCCTCATGATTAAGGATATTGAGCATCTTTTCATATGCTTATTGGTACAAACTTGTGTGCCTTTCCTAAAAATTATAAATATCTAATGTAGATTCATCTCTCATTGTTTTGTGTTTAATGAATTTGTGTGTATAGATTTTGCCACTTAGAAATTCGTTTTAGGAGCCCATTTAGTCCTTTCAGTTGGACATTTTAACCACTATGAGAAACATGATGTGATTGGTTCTTATTGAGTGACTATAGTGATTCTTCTGATAATTTCTTTTGAAAGTCCATATATTATTTTTGTTGCAGTATTTCACTGGCCTTGAATGTGGACATAAGTTTTGTATGCAGTGCTGGAGTGAATATTTAACTACCAAAATAATGGAAGAAGGCATGGGACAGGTAAAGATGCCAATTTGTTCTTGAGTTTTTGTTGTATTTCTTTTAAGTGTTTAGACTGTTACACAAATATAAACAGGTAAAGCATTCTGGGTTGTGAATTACATGTGACTCTTTTTTCTAGGTTAAAACAACTAAAAGATAATTGAGATTTTTTTCTTTTCTATTTACAATGTGATATTCCAGTTAAAAATCCAGTGCAGGTAATGTTTTCTCAGCAGGCATTAACATTTGTATTTATCAGGGTAAACTTGTTGAGAATTTTTGTTATATCTCTTGCCTTTGCCAGTTAAGTTTAATATTGAAAAACCAGTTGTTTGGGTTAGCAATTTTAGTTGCTTTATGGTGGCAAATATTCACATACAGGTTTCCTTTAAAAGAAAGGAAATGATTACAGTCCTATAAATGTTAAGGTATCCTCAGAACCTAGCAAAGTTCCTGGCAGTGGTAAACATTCAGTAAATATTTGTTGAATGAAGACATAGTTTAAATTTCGATCTTTTCCAGACTATTTCGTGTCCTGCTCATGGTTGTGATATCTTAGTGGATGACAACACAGTTATGTAAGTACTTTTGATAGATTCTGCATGTTGGCTATATATTAGTTGATTAAGCCATATTAATTTTTGCTCAACACCACACTGGAGGTGAACATTTGAAGTCTGGAGAGACTCTGTAACCTACATTCCTTTGTAGTACACAAGCCTGTTGGTAGCCTGGTTAAATGCCCAGTCAGTGTTTTGTTCAGTTGGCAATTCGTGACAGCCAGATTTCAGCGAAGCTTGCAGTTGGAGAATAGTTATGTTAGTGTGTCAGTTGATCTTCTGAGAAGCAGAGCCAGGACACCAGGACATAGTTAAAAGAGAAGGGGCTTTATTACGGATTGCATCTATGTAGGATGAATAGGAATAGGAGGAGTAGACAGACATGATACAGTTCTGACACCTGTTGAGAAAGAAGGAAGAAGAATTCAGTTGGAAGAGACTAAGACGGTGTGCAGCTGTGAGTCTCTGTCAGCCCTGTTGGGAACTCCAGTGCATAGATTTCCCACAGAGGAATACTTGGGTCAGCAGAAATGGCCAGGCCCTGGTACCAGTGTCACGCTCAGCCTCTCACTGGGAGCTAAGCAGGGGGATGTGGCCTCATCTAGAACGCTGCTACGAATCTCAAAGACACTGCAGCTGGAGGCTGTTGGCTAACTGCTGGCCTTGTGAAAGGCTCCCTTTTGAAGGAGCGAAAGAAACTTGAAGAAAGAGGTATGATTAGCTCCTGTACATGGGATAAAATCCAGAGTTGCTTAATTCCTGAGTCAGTGCTGTTTTTATAACCTCAGGCAGCCTAATTGATTTTAGTCTAGGAAGATAAATAGATTGAGGGCCTGAATGATCCACAGACAGATTTTATAATTAGTCCTGGATAATGGCCTGTATAGAAGGGTATGTCTGCATTTAAGTGCTGGGATTTGAGAGTAATAAGAGTAAAAGCAGTCATGGGTTTTAGTGAGCAAATTCTTAACCTAATGAAGCCATAAATTGACTTAACCAGCACAGTTCATAAAGCCACTGATTCCACTTTATTAATCCCAGCCTACTTTGGTTTACTAAAATACATTTACTCTTGTCGGCCTGTCTTTCAGTAAATCTTATTTCCATTAACCATGTATGGTCTTAAAGTACCACCATCTTTCCAGTTGTCTTTATCTTGTCCTCTGGTACTTTAATTCTTTGTATTCTTTCCTCAGTACAGGTCACTGTATCTTTTCATTCATTCCACAAACATTTACTCCGAGCCTGTTTTGTTAGCACATATACCTAGGAGAACAAATTAAGATACATTTCCTTTCCCCAGGAGGTTCCTAATAACAAATGCATAGTTTACAGTTGATGCATACATGTTTGCCAAATCGTTTCAGTTGTGTCCAACTTTTTATGACCCTATGGACTGTACCCCCCAGGCTCCTCTGTCCATGGGGTTTCCCAGGCAAGAATACTGGAATAGGTTGCCATCCCCTTCTCCAGGGGATCTTCCTGACCCAGGGATTGAACCCCTGTCTGTTGTGTCTCCTGCATTAGCAGGCAGGTTCTTTACCATCACTGCTACCTAGGAAGCCCATTTTATGTGTAAATGTATGTATAAAGTACAGTTAACGTAGAAACACATTACCTAAAGAATTAGGGCATCTTAGGGAGAGATATCAAGGACTAAAAATTTTGTGTGGAGGGTAATAGTCCATGAGCTTCTCTTTTATGTATTCTGTCATGGCTAAAGTGCAAAGTAACAGATTACTAGAGATGAGGATGAAAAGAGTTTGACAGTTTGAGTTTTGTCATATAAGGTTATTAGGACTGATGAGATTTGCATTTTAGAAATAACCTAGGTAGGTAAAAGGAGGATAGTGTAGAGTAGGGAGGCATTTGGGCAGTGAGATGTGGTTAGAAGATTATTGTTTATAATGCCTGGTTAAATAAATAAATGTAAATCAACTTTAGATATTCTGACATTAAACATCTTTTTATGTTTATTTATTTGGCTGCATCTTAGTTATGGCACGTGGGATCTTCATTGCAGTGATGTGGGATCTTTCTCTGTGGCCTTTGGACTCCACAGTTGTGTGTGGCACAGGCTTAGTTGATGCATGGCATGTGGGATCTTAGTTCCCTTACCAGGGATTGTCGAACTTGTGTCCCCTGCGTTGAAGGCTGATTCTTAACCACTGGACCACCAAGGAAGCCCCTTAATTATTTTTTCTTTTTTTAAAAAATATTTAGTTATTTGACTGCACTGGATCTTAGTTGCAGCATGTGGAATTTAGTTCCCTAACCAGGGATCAAACCCATGTCGTCTGCGTTGGAAACACAGAGTCTTAGTCACTGGACCATGGGGGAAGTCCCATTATTTTTTAAATGATGTAAATTTCTCATAACATAATATTTACCTTTTTAACTAAAGTAGGCAGTTCAGTGGCTTTTTGAATACTAATGTGATATTGTGTAACCATCACCACTATCTAATTCCAGAACATTTTCATCACCTCCAAAAGAAATCCCATATCCACTGAATAGTTACTCTTGACTCCCTCCTCTCCCTAGACTCTGACAACCACTCATCTTTGCTGTCTGGATGGATTTGCTTACTCTGGACGTTTCATTTAAATGGAGTCATATAGTATATGACCTTTTGTGAATGGTTTCCTTGACTTAACATAATGTTTTCAAAGTTCATTCATGTTGTAGCATGTATAAGGACATCATTCCTTTTTATGGCTAAATAATGTTCCATTATACGGATATTCCATATTTTATTTCTCCATCAGTTCTTGGACATTTGAGTTATTTTTATTTTTTGTAGAAATCTTTGTTACTATTTGAATATTTGTGTGCAAGGTTTTTATTGAACACCTGTTTTTAATTCTCTTGAATGTTTATACCTTGGAGTGGAATTAATTATTGAGTCATATGGTAATTTTGTGTTTGGCTTTTTGAGGAACAGCCTTGTGCACTAATTACTTTTATCCCTCAGTTTCAACATGTGCAAAATCTGGAGGTTTACTCATTTGAAAAGTACTTACTAAATACTTTTCACAGGCCAGGCAGTTTACTGGACATAAGAGATCCTTTCATGGAGCTTATTGTTTGGTTGAGAATAGGGAATTAGGGAGGCAGATATTAAAGAATGGTTATATGATAGCTGTCTGATGAAAACTTCGACACATTCTGAAAAGAAGTATATAATTTGCCATGAGAACTGAAGGGGAGTGGTCTACATCTAGACTGGTATGGTGAGTTGTCAGGAAGGGCCCCCTTGAGTGAGTAACAGTACATCTTAGCTGAGTGAAATAATAATGATGGTGATGAATTCAGCTTCATCTAATATTCATTGAGTGCTTACTATTTGCCAGGCACTATGCTAGTCTCCCAGCTCGATTTCTGCTATCCATTTTACAGATTAGTAAACTGAAAACTGGGCTTCCCAGGTAGCTCAGTGGTAAAGTCCACCTGTCAAGCAGGAGATGTGGATTCGATCCCTGGGTTGGGAAGGTCCTCTGCAGAAGGAAATGCAGCCCACTCCAGTATTCTTGCCTGGAAAATCCCATGGTCGGAGGAGCCTGGCAGGCTACAGTCCTGAAACGGGTTGCCATGCCCTCCTCCATGGGATCTTCCTAACCCAGGGATCGAAGCGAGGTCTCCCGCGTTGCAGGCCGTTTCTTCACTGTCTGAGCCACGGGGAGGCCCTGAGGAAGAAAGAGCACAGACGTGAGAGGAGCACAGGACAGGGCGGGGGGCTTTTGGGGGGGGGGTAGGGTGAGACTCAAGACGAGATTGGACTTCACATTTTTCTGGTACTGTTCCTAATAGCTTCTTTGGTGGTTACTCTCTCTGCTTTAATACCGTTTTCCTATAATACCCACAGGAGTGTTTAACTAGTGAAAATTAAATTTCAGGGTTCTTGACTTTCATGAGTTCCTGTGAGTTCAAGAAATTCTTGTGAATTACAGTATTCTAGGTGAATAAGGAAAGCCAGGTTGCAATTAGTAAGCATTTCTAATAAACTACCAAAAGATTTCAGAAGAAGGAGGCTATCTGAATTATATGTGCAAAACCTATATCCATTTCTGAACATTCCTGTCAAGATCCTTTTATTTCACACACTTGATTTTAGGGGAGGAGATCTTAGGAAAGCTGGCTGAGAATTGCTGCCTTAAGGCAGGATATGAGAGTCAGAAGACTGAAAGGGGCCTAAATTTGGCAATAGTTGGTAAGTCATTAGACTACAACACAAATACCAGTTGGGTAAAAATAGAATATTTAGAGTGTAAGAACCAGGGGGTGGAACATCTACCAAAATAAAACTATAGAAACTTTGGAATTATTGTTTTGGTTCCTATAGTTATATATGTTGACAGTTTATATATATTTTAGTACTTTAAATTTAAAGCAGTTTTCATACCAGAGCATTGAGATTTCATTTTATGAGTGTGGAAAATACCCTTAGCTGAAAACCTCCTAATAAACTATTTTTATTCTCACTTTCAGGCGCCTGATCACAGATTCAAAAGTTAAATTAAAGTATCAGCATTTAATAACAAATAGCTTTGTAGAGGTAAGTGATTTCTCATAAGTTTTCATTCTTTAAATAAAAGAAATTCTGTTTATTAATAGAAATACAGTTTAACTTACATAAGAAACACCTTTATGATAACTTCAGTTATTGTCTTTTTATGAAGCATACCAAAATACCTTTATTTTCAAAAGAATGTGACAAATCAATAAATAGATGTCTTTTCATAGATCTTAAGCTTTGATAAAATTATTTTTATAGTCTTTATCCTTAGCAGAGAACTGTAGCTGATTCTTAGTGATGTCGTGTTTAATCATGTTTGATACATTAGCCCTGCTGTATCTCTGCTTGTTTTACCTTCCTTCCATTAACAGTAAACTTTGTTAAAAAATAATTGTGTAGTGTTTTTTGTTTGTTGTTTCAAATATGGCTTAACAGAAAAGAAATTGTCAAACCACGGCCTGCCTGCTTTTTGTAAATACACGTTTATTTGAACACGCCCGTGTATTCTGCGACTGCTTTTGTGCTGCAGTGGCAGAGTTGAGTAGTTGCTAAAGAATGGCCTATGGAGCCAAATAGAGCTCCTCTCTGGCTCCATGTGGAAGAAGTTTGCCAGCCCCTGTGTAAGAGCTTGAGTGTAACTTGGTATTTCACTTCTAGAAAGTAATTTTAATTTTTATTAGCAGTTAAACTGAAAGTCTTCTAAAAATAACATTTTTTAAGAATAATACCTTTTTTTAAATGGTCAATAAACTTGAATTCTGGTGGAGTGTTCCTTGAGCAATGTTTTGTCCCATAATAAAAATGTATCAAAAGTTACATTTCTTTTGAAGAACTAAAATGCAACCATTGCTGTGGTTTAGGAACTGGTTTTTGTTCTTAGAAGAACTTTTTATGGTCAAAGAGAGAAGTTCCATGTGTATTCTTCAGCTTGTTTCATACAGCATATGAACTCCTTCCCTGAGTAGAAGCATTATCTTATTTTTTTTCATCTTTTAAAATTGCCCTGAAATAGAACCATACACAAATGATGTTTGTTAATGATCACATAATGGTGATCATTTATTTTAAAGATTCTCAGTGGGATTTTGAAGATAGAACAAGAGATAGTTTATAATTCCAGGTATTCAAGTGATCTATAATCTTAGAAAGACAGTACATCCAAAAGCATTGCTGTAAAAGACTGTTGGTGTCAGGGTTTTATATGCTTGTGACACCATCCGCACTTTATGATAGTGAGGAAGTAGTATACATAATTGCATGGTGTACTGGGAAATCTTGCATCATGATTTAATTTGCTGTCATTTTTTAATTTTCTAATTTGTATTTCAGTGCAATCGACTGTTAAAGTGGTGTCCTGCCCCAGACTGCCACCATGTTGTTAAAGTTCAATATCCTGATGCTAAACCTGTTCGCTGCAAATGTGGGCGCCAGTTTTGGTAAGCACGTGGTTTCCTAAATTGAAGTAGTATACATAGCTTTTCTGTTTATTTTTGGTAGTGAAATAGAAACATTTCTTTACCTCAGGTAGGTGGGTGATAACTGATTTTAAATAGCATATATTTCTTTTAAATAAAACTTAGCATTAAAAGTCTCATATCTTAAGATAATTTTTCCTGTTTCTATGTTGCTGTAAGTTTTGGATTTATTTTCTTATGGGAATAAAAGTGCAGCTGTAATCACTTTTTCTTGTATCCTCCATTGGCACATATGTAGGAGCAAACTTAAAGATCTGGGATAAGAACTCCACTCTCATTTCTGATTAACTGCTTATTTTGTCACTTTGTTTTTTGTTCCCTTATGGCTCATGATTAGTTTTCAGATTATCTCAGGAAATACAGAGTTAGGTGTTTTTAATTTCCTTTGTTCATATGAGTTTAATCTTGGTCCTAAAAAATATGTAGCTAAATTTGGAAAGATAAAACTTGGTTGATTAGATGTTGATTAAATCTTTTAGTTGTTGATTAGATCTTTTTTAACTAAGAGTTTTTCTCTGGGGCTTCTGGCCACAGCTTTCTTGGTAACCTGGATTCTTGGAGTAGCATAGCCTTTGAATTCTAGGTTCAACTTAGCAGGGAATTTCCATTACTACACATTAGAGACCATTCCTTTATGGATCTTTTAGGAATGAGAAGCTGTTCAAACCAAAGGGCTCTATAGCTAGCAAATACACATGTTATTGGTTTTCCATATCATTCTCTTGTTGTTGTTTTGTTTCTGTTTTGGTCATGGGTATGCATTTTGTGGGATCTTATTTCCCTGACCAGGGTTTGAACCCAGGCCCTTGGCAGTGAGAGGATGGAGTCCTAACCACTGGCCCTCTAGGGAATTGGCTCTGTATCATTCTTTTTTTCCTCCAAACAGCAATAGAATTAGTCTTAGCATCATTAATACTAAATATTTCCCAAAAGAATAGATAAACTCATGGAGATTGAGTTTGTGTAAAATACATGCTATTTTGGTAAAGGTTATACATTATCATTTCAGAATTTACTTTGTAGACAGTGTGGAATCTAATTTCCTTCCCTGCTTTTAAATATATTTTGTGAATGAAGTATTTCAAATACAGATTTAGTATAGAGAATAACAGCAATACTTAAATATTTATAAAGTTACAGCCCTCCTTAATCAAAATCAGTTTGTTTTTGTCAAGAAATAAAACATGTAAGATACATTTGAAGCTTCTTGATGTTCCCTTCTCTATTCCATTCCCCGTCTTCTTTTCCAGAAGTAACCATTATCCTGGCTTCATTTAACCTGAGAGCACTTTATTCTTCTAATTTGCAAAGGATTTTTGGCATTCCCAAAGTACTTGATTAGCTAATTAATCAGCCATTCCACGGTTATTTTTTTTGCAAGCATTTGTTTTCATTCTTAGTAGTGTTAGTTGCTCAGTTGTGTCTGATTCTTTGCGACCCTGTGCACTTTAGCCTGCCTCGCTCCTCTGTTCATGGAATTTTAAGGCAAAGATACTGGAATGGGTTGCCATTTCCTTCTCCAGGGGATCTTGCTGATCCAGGGATAGAACCAGGGTCTCCAGTGTTGCAGGCAGACTCTTTACCATCTGAGCCACAAGGGCAGTGTTTATTCTTAATTTGTACTTTTTAAACAAATACATATACCATGCTCCTAGAAAGCAGAAAGGAATTAGCAGTTAACATAGTCTTAGAGAATATGTAGTCATCATCTTTTGTCTTGTACCTTGTTTGGCACACTATACTAGGCTGAGGTTCATTGTTTGGATCTTGTGAAAATATGTGACCTATTTCCCACATACTGTGCATTAGTACTAAAGTATGGAATTACCATACGAAGTCAGACTAGCTCTTCATCTGGAATGTTAAAATATTTAATAAATGCCTGTGAAGCCTTGGTTGAAATTTAAGTTCAGATTATTGAACATGATTTCATTTTAGTTCAGTTAGACAGTGGTTGCAGCAAGGAATTACACATATTAAAAACTATCAGAAAAATACAGCTCTAACTAAACTGATTGTATTGTCTTAACAGTTTGGTCTGGAGAAGGGCATGGCAACCCACTCCAGTATTCTAGCCTGGAGAATCCCCTTGGACAGAGGAGCCTGGTGGGCTCTATCTAGTCCATGGGGTCGCAGAGAGTCAGACATGACGGAGCAGCTAAGCACACAGCACACAGTAGTTGGGTAGCTAGTCAGTCATTTATCCTGTAATCGTCATTATAAACCGTCTTTATCCTTCATTTCACACACAGACGCTTGGTATGTGCTGGCCCTAGTACTAAGTGCTAAATAAATTACTACAGAGTAAAATAGACATGGGTCCTGTCCTTGTATTTGCCAGTCCCTGGAAACTGGTGAAAGTACTGAGGTACTGTAAAGCATGAGGTTGTTTGTTTGTTTACTCACAGTAGGTAGGACTTAATTCTTTAACTCTTGTGTCACTTAACAGCTTTAACTGTGGAGAAAATTGGCATGACCCTGTTAAATGTAAGGTGAGTGTGCCTGGCATTTTCATTTTTAAATAAGGTAGTAGAGTACTTCTAAGACTTGATAACTTTTAAGTCACAGCCCACATTTTGTTATTTATTCATTGGTAGTTGGAACATGGTATTTTGTCCTTTTTATTTCGTGTGATCTTTGCAAATATTCAGGGAACATTCCTTAGGAATAAAGTCTTCTCCTAATTATCAGGATGATGAGGGTTAAGGCACCTCCCTTGGACTGCTTTATAATTAGCTAAAGGGAATGACACACCTTGCAGCTAGGCTTCTTGTTGAGCTCTAGGTTCCCCACTTAGTTGCAGCCAGAGAAAGTCCTCCTTTGGTTGATTTTTTTTTTTTTAATGTACCTGGACTATAAATGAGAATCACAGGATTTCTTGGAAAGGCAGTAAATCCAGTGATAATCCTGTCTTTTGGCTTTTATGTTTAAGCTTGACTATATTTATGTTGATGTCATTTGCTATCCTTAAGTCTTCTGTTGTGCTGTAACAGTTTTTGTTTTCAAACAGTGGTTGAAGAAGTGGATTAAAAAGTGTGATGATGACAGTGAAACCTCTAATTGGATTGCAGCCAACACAAAGGTTGGTATCTTCCTTCAGTAAACCCTTGGTTTTGAAACTGATCAGAATAGGTGTATCAACGTCAAAAGCAGTAAGTTTACCTACTAAAGGGCCTTGTTTTCCCTTTTAGTTGATTAAAGTTTGCTTTTTGTTTTCGGAAAGATTGCCTATTAATGATTATCCTTTGTTTTACTGTTTGTTTTATTGAATACTCTACTGTAGTATGCGTAATACTCTGCTTTAGTTTTCTTCCATCAGAAAAGTAGTGGTTGCTTAATCAGTTTTCTACCCTGGGGTTTGATAATATCTTTTCATGTAAATTCTTGGCTGCCTTCTAGTATACCAATGTAGAGTTTATTGTATCTAGCCTTTTTTTTTTTTTTTAAACTAGACTATATTTCTGCCTCTTAAAATCTCCAGGGTTTAACTTTTAAGGAGTTATTCTTTAGGGGGCAGTATTGAGTCAGAGTTAATGAGTAACTTTATTATGTAACTGAACTGGGCTTAACAAATTGAATGTTTTCAATATGTTAAACTTCCAAAATATGATTTACTAAAAGACTTGATTCCTGAAAAATGGAAGCTTAAGGATAACATGAGTATCCTTGGTTTTGGGGGGTTTATTTTTTGAATTCATTGGTCGTGATACTAGTTTCAGAGTTCAGTATCTTTATGACATAAACCACGTCTTAAACCCTAGAGGAATGTCTTGCAAATGCAAATAAACTTGAACACCTTTCTTTTCTGTCCCTAAGTGGTAAACATTTGAATCCAAACTGTGTACCCAGCCAATTTTTTGTAGGAAATTATATAAACATCCAATCTTACCTCCTATCTGAATAGGAAGAGTGGTGAATAATAGTGTTATTCATGGGCTGTTTATTTTTACTGTTGTCTTTCACATATGATGATGATGCTTTAAAGAATATTGAGTTGTTTGACCAGAGTTAGTTATAACTTTGCAGTCTTCCATCACTCAGTCATGGGATAATGATAAGGAGTGCTTAAATGACCGCCAGCACATGATTCTGTACCACTGATACCTGCTCTACCCCAAAAGATTAAAACTTGTGTACATTTCTGTCTCCCAGAAAGCATTGGCAATAAAACAGTCCTGTTGTATAAAACAAATACCCACATCTTTGGGGAATATAGTTTTGAAATCAGCATTTCTATGTCTCTGAAACTAGCATGATAAACATACCTTATGGCACTTAAGAAAACCTTACTATAATGTCAGAAAATGGTTGCTTTTTTATTTTTTAAAAAATTTCCTGTTACTCAAGCATTCTTCTTCAAAAATTGAAGATTTCTCCACCAGAAATGTTCATTAAAGTCCTAGATTCTTAAATATGCTGTCAGATTAGTATTTAGAATAGAGCAGTTGTATTTTCCCTAAGTAGTTTGATTACAAACTACACTCTTCTGCATCTGAAAAAATCCCTACGTACTCCAAATCCCCAAGATATTTAAAATCGGGAGTATAGGTTTGAATATGCTTGACTTTGTTTAGAGGGTAGATTATTAAGTAAGAATGGCAATTTGTAATAATAGATTTATCTAGTTGGAGGTTTTGAGATAAAACTGAGGGTTTTTCTGAAATGGAGACATGCAGAAGCTTATTTTGTTACCAGATTTGCAGGTTGTTGTTATATTAAGAAATCAATGCTATTTAGTTAATTATAGCCAAGATATACAGAATGAAACATATTTTAGGCCTGAAATTTGCCTCTTTGGGAAGATGGTAGTATTTTTTATGTGAGTGACTTCAAAAATCTCATGGTATTGACCTCTTTTGAATTACTATAGTTTATGGACAGTAAAGTCTGTTCACTTAAGCTGAATTATAGAAATATTATGTTGGGTGATACTTTCCTTCCTTTTGGGAGTAATAGACATCAACACAAAAACATACAGCAAAAATCCAAGCTTTACATCTTATTCATAGTTTTATTAAAAATAATGAGTAGGTTTTATTCTCTAAATTTTTCAAGAGGAAAAAAATTAGATGTGCCCACAGGTTATGACTTTGGCTCATTAGCAACCAAGAGAACGATACAGACTTGGGCAGGCGGATGTAATCTCTGCAGCACGGTTACAAAGGAACCACAATGAAAAGATGTTAACAAGGATATTTGGCAGAAGAAAGTTGGGAAATTCAGTAGCCGCAAAGAGAATTATCAGTCTTGCTTGCCTGACTCTTAAGGCCAAATTGCTTGGGTTTGAATCCTAACTCTACCGTTTCCTACTTGTATAACCTTGGATTAGTTTCTTTAAAATTTTCTCTTAGTTTATTCATCTGATGAATGGAAATGGGAGTAAGACCACTATAAGGATTATGAGTTAATGCATGTAGAACACTGAGAACAGTGTATGGGATACAGGAAGTATTCAATTATTATTTCCAGATGGCACTAGAACAATATGTTTACAGGAACAAAATGTTTAACCTCTCATAAAACTGTTATTACTATGTGTATGGTTAAAAGTACTTAAAATGTTTTTGTCCCCCAACCCCACTAAAACAAATCCTTAAATTGTCATGCATCTTAAAAAACCTGTAATAATAACTCATTTTCAATAGTACTTAAGTGTTTGACACTGTTCTAAGTGCTTTACATGTATCAATCACAATAAATCACAGTATTAATTTAAAAATAAACCATATATAGAACTGGCTTCTCCTCAGTGTAGCATTGACACCAACTTTATAGTTTCTCTTCATAGGAATGTCCCAAATGCCATGTCACAATTGAGAAGGATGGCGGTTGTAATCACATGGTCTGTCGTAACCAGAACTGTAAAGCAGAGTTTTGCTGGGTGTGTCTTGGCCCTTGGGAACCACATGGATCTGCCTGGTAGGTTGGGGAAATGAAGGGAAAACATGTTCACATAACTGTGTGATGTATCTGCCTCATATTATGAATAAGGTTTCTGCCTCATGAAAATCACCCTCTAACTTGGGACTAGATAAATGAATACAGGGTGTGATCAGTGTTAGAAGTGTATGCGAGATATCTAAAGAGAGAGTTTAATTGGGTTTATTTCACAGAGCAGGTAATAGCTGAGTTGACTTTAAGGAAGACTAAGAGCTCCATTTGTTCAAAAAGTGGCAGGAGAAACATTCAGGGCAAAAGGAGCAACATGAGCAAAGGTAGAAGAATGTGATAGTACATGACTTACTCAGAAAAGAGTTGTGTTGTCTAATGTGTCTCTCTAGACAATAATTAAAAACTAAGAGACTTGGCAGAACCCAATCCACAGTTGTGTTTTAGTTATCCTGCATGCAATTAGACAAAAAAAATTCGTCCCAAACTTTAAGAACTGGAAAATTACCCAATGAAATCCAGAGTTTTAGCATTCATTGAAACATAACAACAGGCCTGCATTTCTTTTAGACAAAAATCACCTGGAATTGGTTGGTTGCTTTTTAGATGGAGCCTTTACTGCAGTTTAATGTTTTCCCTAAGACCAAAGCTTATTGGCATTTTCGTGTCTTATGATGGCACATTTGGTAGTGATACATACCTTTGTTTCCTGCATGTTTCTTATCATGTGTGTGGGGAAAATGCAAATTAGATTGAGGATGTCTTGTTGCATTTTTCTCAAAACAAGAAAAATGAGAGCTAGCGCATCTCCTGGTAAATGTGAAAATATTTCTGGGAGTTATAATGTGCAGATTGCCCTTTTCACTAGTTTGTTATTTGCATTTGTCTCCTGTTGGTGTTTGAGTTTGTGGCCCCTCATAAATTGTGGGGAACAGGAAAAGAGAAAGTAGACTGGGACCTGAAGTAGTTTGGACAATTACCAGAAGTATTTTAACTAATAGTAACAACATTAGATCTGTAGTTTAGGTGAGAATGCTCTGTATTAGGTGCTTTCCATACCTTATCTGGACATTGTGGTTGCTTTGTAGAGAGTTGGGGGGAGAATTGCAAGCTCAAGACAAGATGAGGAGAATCTGAACTTAAGACAATGGCAAGCCTTCCCTTTTAGTTACTTTTGGAGTGTTCATTCATATCATTAATTAGAGGAATAGTAAGAGGGATTGTCTGAAATTGATTCTAAACTAGGTAAAAACTAATTGGTTAGGTGAAAAAAAGAAAGTGATTTTACTACTGTCAGAGCCAAGGAAAGATATTTGGGGTTTAGGAATGCAAGCTGAAGGATTAGCATGTTCCCGGAAACTAAATTAATTTGAGTGTATATAAACAAGTTTAGTGAAGAGGAGAGGGAATGGAGGAGAAGTATTAAAGAGACTTTTGTTTGTGTATAAGAAATCTCTGATCACAACTCAAATTGTAAATGAACTGGGTTGAAAAATGAAAGGGGGTACAAAACAAATGGCGACTGCAGAAGCATGAAAAGTGACCCGGACCGGGGGTGTCAGAAATGTTGCCTGCGTCTTGCCTTTTCTCATGGCTAACATTGTGAATGAATCCTTGCTGTGCTTTCTTGTTTAAATCAGAAAATATCTCAGAATCTTCAAAGTAACATTCCAAATAGCACTATCAGTCATCTCAGTTGGAAATATAGATGAGCCCTCCTTGCTTTCTTGACTTCAAAATTCTTAATGTTGGCAGAGTAAAGCCCAGAGTGAGTTGAGGCTTAAAAATATCTAACAAATATCAAAAGGAAAGTTTTTTGAGGATATATCAGTTAGGAAGAAAATGTGTTAATTGTTGACCAGTAGATAGAGAGGAGAGGGATCTTCAGGCTTATTTGTGAGTAGAATAATTATTGGTAAGAGAGGATTATTAATCAAGGTGGGGGACAATAAATGTCTCTTGACTCAGGTGAATTGTGGTCTGGGTTACTTTAAAAACTTCGAGTTGCAAATCAGTGAGAAAATAGATTTGTGTCTTCCTAGTGGAATGCTTTAAGGTTTGCTGAAAGGCTTTGTCCACATCTTTTTTATTCACGTAAACTATATACTGCTTTTCTGTTCAGTTGTATTGATGATTTTCTTGAATTAATATAAAAATTTTATATACATTTTGGGGTTATATCAAAGAGGGATATTGAATATATAAACCATTGTAATATTAAAGGATTTGACAAGCTGGAATAATAAATTCAGTTTAACAAGATTTATATTAAATTCAAAATTCTTCTAAAAAGGTCATCGTTAAAAAGATTTTGAAGATATGAATCCACTAGTTAAGAGCATGGGTCTCAATTGGCAGAAGGGCATCAGATTAATTTCTACCTCTGAAACTCTTCTTTTGTGATCTTAAATATGTTGCTTATCGTCTCAAAATTGGATTCTTCATCTGCTCAGTGAGGATAATGATACATATTTCATAAGGTAATTGAGGGGATTAAATGTGATAGTACAGTTAAAGTCTTTAGTAAGTGGATAGAATATAGTATATGTCAGTTGTACTCATAATGTAGGCTCCCATAAAATAAAATGGGTAATCAGAAGAAGAAGTGCCCGTCCTACACATCTCCACTCTGAGCTGACTTCTCTGGGCAGATTTCCCCTTGCTCCTCATTTTGTATGTTGAGTTTTTGGGGATTCTCATAAACTGTTAAGAGCATGTAAAGCACATAGCACAGCACTTGTTACACAACACTCTGTCAGCAGTTGGTTCTCTTTGGTGTATACAGGTGAGGGTAACAAGGTGAGTAATCCTGGAAAGATTGAAAATATTTGGCTAAATAACAGACAGTGTAGGAGATGAGATAGTCTCTTTCTTCAAAAAAGGAATTAGAAGTTCAAGCTACAGTTGGTAAATGGAAGAATAACAATGTTTTCCAATGATTATCAGTAAACTTATTTGAGTGGACTACCTCAGGGGGGTGGGAAACTGCTTATTACTAACAGAGAAGAGACACACTCTTTTGGAAAGGATTCAAACACCTATGGGCTTTTTTTCCTCCCCACCTCGTTTTATCTTTGTAAAGGAGAATATCAACTCTACATAATCGCTAAATCCAGGCTAAAATTCTGTGATTTGTTCCCTTTTCATTGACTTATGGCTTTATGGAATCCTCTTTACTTACTTCAGGTACAACTGTAACCGCTATAATGAGGATGATGCAAAGGCAGCAAGAGACGCACAGGAGGTAAGTACATTTATTTTCAGGTAGCGGTTGAACAGGAATGTGCATTATATGATGATTAGGGAATAATTTAGCAAAAGAGTTCAATTCTGAAAGATTTGTTAAAGGATACTCCAATAAATACTGCATATCTGTGTACATGTAGAAAGGGAATCTTATGCAGAATACATATTAGGAGTATTCCTATTTATAGATGTGTTTGCATTTAAAAAAAAAATCAATCTAGTCATATAGCATACTTCCAGGTTTCAGTAGTCTTCAGTAGCAAGATTTTCCCTTCCCAGCAAAGAGTCTAAAGAACAGTATTTGTTAAATGGCACTGCTGCTATTTATGTGCAGCCTCACTTCTTTTTAATTAATTAATTAATGACTTCATTGTTCATCAAGAAGTTCTAATGATTTTAGGTAACTTGGAATGAACTGTCTCAGGAGGTAGGGATTTCCCTATTACTGAATAAGGAAATAACCCACTTTTATAGAAGAGGGGATTCAAACTCTTGATGTGGATTAGATTCAGTAACACTTTGAATTCCTTTCAGCCTGGTAATTCTGCCTTAATAGTAGAATTCTAGAATTTAGTCATACCTTACATTCATACATTCTGTATTGAAATTCCCCATTTCTCCTCCCAAAATCTTTTAAAATGACTTGTCTTGCCAAGATGCAAGCCAGAACACGACCTGTTTGTTATTATTTCACTTTTCAAAGGCTCCTTTAAAATTTCTTTAAATTACTGTAAATACAAAAGAATATATTTACAGAACCTAGGCTATCATATTACAGATGTTTACAGTATTTGTGATCCTTTAAAGGGGGGAAAAACCACAGATAACAGTGTTGGTTTACATTATATTCATTATAAATATTACTATATTAACTGTGTTTAAAGTAAAACCAGCTGGACTATTTTAAGTAGCTATACAACCAAACAAAGAAACCCACAACCAGTGAAACTCAAGTAAAAACTAATTAGATAAGTTATTTGTTGAAATTAAATTACTGTTGATAGCTAAGTCCCAGAATTTTTTTATTTAGTACTACTATAAGTACCACGTGATCATTTGTTCTCTCATCAGTTTTCTATATATCAGCCATTGCCTTTTCACCCCTACAGTGCATCAAAATTTGATTTGATTTGATCAGAATTTATTATTAATGTATTTCCTGTCACTTATTCTCAACTCTGGTTCAGTTAATACGGCTTGATACCAGTTTTAGCCATTTTACAAATGTAAGACCTAAAAGCATTGATTCTGATAAGTTTATTCAGGTGGTCCAGAGTGTGTTTTCTTCAGGTTATTATCAGATTTTTAATATTTAAAAATTTCCATGGTCTGTTTAAATGAGATCATTTGGCACTCCTACTCCAGTTCCCTCTAGTACCCTTAGGCTATAATTTGAGAAACACTGTCCCATGTAACCTTTGTATAAAGAACTCTACCATGAGAATGATGCCTTTCCCACCCTCCGTTTTGAATTGATTCCTCTCTTCCATTTTTATTCAGCCCAGTTTGTCATTGCATATCCTTCTGTTTCAGGTTTGTTTGTTTTTAAATCTTAGCTTTTTCCCCCCTTCTGGCTTTCTGCTTTTGTCCTAAAGTTTTCTTCTAATTTTGATAATATTTTTTTCAATCCATAAAGAAATGCTGTTTTTCTTTTATGTATAGCATTATATTTTTCCTAATTACCAGGGTGGGCTTTTAGTTTTTGTGTGCTACATTGCTTCAGTCGTGTCCAACTCTTTGCCCAATCCATGGACTGTAGCCTGCCAAGGCTCCTCTGTTCATGGGGTTCTCCAAACAAGAATACTGGAGTGGGTTGCCAATTCCTTCTTCAGGGGACCTTTCCGACCCATAGATCGAACTTGGGTCTCTTACGTCTCCTGTATTGGCAGGCAGGTTCTTTAGTACTAGCTTGATCTAGCCAGAATTTGCTGACACTGGAAAGTATATGGGTTATCCTTGACCTGGTAAGTGTTTGGGAGCTGGTAGAATTCCTTTTTGAGATCTGCAGGGAGGGTGGATTATTGGACATAGCTTCTCAGCCCTTTTAATGTGTAGATTGTAGATGTTAGATTGCACAATTTTTCTAGGTCGCGTATATATTGGCCTAAATTAGGATCTTGTGACCTTGCGAGTGCGCAGGGAAAGGGGTTTATATGAGTTGACTGTGTTTGTTTATTTAGTAGGAACCATACCTCCCAGAATGGAGCACACACCTAGCTTATTCCTTCCTCACTTCCTCTACTTCCATATTCTGGCCTAGTGTGTTCTGGCAATTGTAGTTCTTTTTTTTTAAACAGTGGTTCATAGCAGCTTTTTTTGTTATAGTCCCAAACTGGAAACATCTAAAATTTTTCTTAATTGGTGAATGATTAAACAAACCATGGTAATCCATACTGTGAAATATTATTCAGTGATAACAGTAAATGAACTGTTGATCCACATAGCGATTTAGATGTCACGGGCACCATGCTGAGTGAAAAAGCCAGTGTCAACAAATAGCATTCTGTGATCTCTGTCACATGATTCTATTTATGTTATATTGTTGTTGCTAAGTTGTGTCCGACTTTTTGTGACCCCATGGACTGCAGTGCGCAAGGCTTCCCTGTCCTTCACTATTCCATTCCCTGTGTTTGCTCAGACTCATGTCTGTTGAGTCGGTGGTACCATGCAACCATCTCACCCTCTTTTGCCTGCTTCTCAGCAGTTGTAGTTTGTTTGTTTTCCATTTTTAGGCGGTTGTAGTTCTTTAAAAAGTGCTAGAAGGTTGGCACACAGTACAGAAAGAACACAGATGGTACTTTTTCTTTTTTCTTTTCTGTGACCACACTTTGTGGCTTGTGGCATGTTAGTTTTCCAACTGGGGATTGAACCTGGGTCCCTGGCTGTCAGAGCACAGTCCTAACCACCGGATTGCCAGGGAATTCCCTAAATTTTCTTATCTACTAACCCGGAGTCAGTATACTTCTGTGAGTGGTAAGGTAGTAAATATTTTCAGCTTAGCAGACTATACAGTCTGTTAGAGTTACTCAGTTCCGTCCTTCTCCTGTAATGCTTGCTGACTCAGCCATAGACTTAAGGGAGTGGACATGGTAGTGTTTCGAGTTAACTTTGAAAACAAAAATAGGCAGCAGCTGGATTGCCTACCTGTTTTCTAAGCAATTGTGTGGTTTTCCAAAGCGCTTTCAGGACATTGCATTTCTCAATCCAGATTCTGGCATTTGATTTAAAAATGGGTATTATTTGCAGTGGTAGTATGGGTGTTGTTTTTTTTCCATATTGAATTTTTAAATTATTTTAATGATGCAAGCTGTTTGAGAATTCTTAGTCATATTAAGACCTATAACATACATTTTAATACATGATTTAGGTTTTCCATTTCATCTTGGGAATTTGACAGGCTTGAAAATATTAGTGCTTTGTATGGAGGTAAAATGCCAAGTAGATTATTCTTTACATATTCTATTTTTAGAAATAATTGGCATAATTTTATTATGTATAATCATATCTAATAGCAATACTATTATTTTTGTCTAATAATGAATAGATGTAATTGTCATAGTATTTTTAGATATGATTGGCATAATTTTCCACTGTGTAAGCATTGATTTAATACCTACCTGACTGCTAAAATAATATGACTTGTGTAGGTTTTTTTAGGTGTTTCCGTGTTGTAAGATACTGGATCATGTGATTGGCTACTAATGTGGTTCAGAGTTAGTGTTTCTGAGCAAGAGACCAAGCATAGGGCCTTGTAGTATCTGTACTGCTTGTAGGCCTTAGGCATGAGGAAAGGAAGAGGAGATGATGGTTAAAGAAAAGAAACACATGTGTGTGGTAAGAACCCTTCTATAGTAGTTACTTTCAACAATCATTTTTTAGATATTAAGTACTAGAGTTATAACAAGATTGCTTTTTTTAAAATATTGTTATGTCTAGTTTTTAATATGAAGAAAATGGTATTTTTGGCTGCTTGTGGAATCTTGCTCAAACTCACGTCCATCGAGTCGGTGATGCCATCCAACCATTTCATCCTCTGTCGTCCCCTTCCCCTCCTGCCTTCAATCTTTCCCAGCATCAGGGTCTTTTCCAGTGAGTCACTTCTTCGCATCAGGTGGCCAAAGTATTGGAGTTTCAGTGAAGCCTGGCATGCTGCAGTCCATGGGGTCGGAAAGAGTCATACACGACTGAGCAACTGAACTAAACTGTGGAATCAGTTTCCTGACCAGGGATCAAACCCATTCTCCCCTGTAGTGGGAGCTCAAAGTCTTAACCACTGGACCACTGGACAAGTCCCAGGATTACTTTTTTAAAAGTGTATCTCCTTAACATTTACAGTATAATAAGAGAGACCCATGTGAATTATTTTTGCAGTATGATAAACAATATAAAACAAATTTAGACCTGATATCATATTTTTAAATACTTCATCATATTTTTTAATACTTCATGTACTTTAAAAGACTTCTCATAAAACTGTAGTGGTGTTTATGTTTGTATATTTATGTTATTTTATAATTATGCTATATATTTATTATATATTTTTGAAGCAGTATTTTGTTAATATGTGTTCCAGTGTTCCAGTGTCCCCATTTTATCTCATAAACTTTTTTATAATTGGTTCAAATGAGGATTCATATAGGTTCCACAAGTTGGATGTGATGTTATAATCTGTAGGTCTTTTCATGTTTTGGGGCTTTTTTTTCTTCTTCCTTCTTCTTTGCCATTTATTTGTTGAGGAAACTTAAGTCATTTTTGTGCTGTAGAATTTTTATATTCTGGATTTCCCAAGTGTAACTCCCTGGTTTTATTTAATAGGTTCTTCTATCCCTAAACTTGCTGAAACTGGTGGTTAATTCTAGGTACTTGAATTCAGATGATTTGGTGAGGGATGTGGAAAGAACACAGAACACTTAACTGGTGTTAAATGTACTGTGTAGTTTCTGTTGCATTATATTAGATGTTATATCAGGGTTGCCTCTCTTTTGTTTTTTACTTTAAAATATTGATGTACCTTATTGCACACTGCAGAACAGAGCTATCCAGTAGAATATTCATAATGATGGAAATGTTCTTAATACCACTATCTGATTTGGTAGACATGGACTGCAGCTGTAAGAAACTGAATTTTTAATTTTAATAGCCATATGTGACTGCTGGCTGCTATATTGGAAAGTACAGCTATAGGACTTTCAAAAAATGTTAAGTAACAGAGGTAGCAATAGATGTCTCTTTGTTCTTGATTTTAGCCTAAATTCCTATTCCGTTTCATCAGTAAATATGATATCAGGTTTTGTGTGCCTATAATAAATTTGTTATAACTATGTGACCTTAATTTTTCTTAATGGACAGAGATCTAGGGCAGCCCTGCAGAGGTACCTGTTCTACTGTAATCGCTATATGAACCACATGCAGAGTCTCCGCTTTGAGCACAAACTGTATGCTCAGGTGAAGCAGAAAATGGAGGAGATGCAGCAGCACAACATGTCCTGGATTGAGGTGCAGTTCCTGAAGAAAGCAGTTGATGTCCTCTGCCAGTGTCGTGCCACACTCATGTACACTTATGTCTTCGCTTTCTACCTCAAAAAGAATAACCAGTCCATTATCTTTGAGGTAGGAATAGTTACTGAGTGGGTGAAAAAACCACCTGTGTGTCATAGGACTACTTATCTTTTATAGATAAGAGTTTTAAAGATTACTCATTGCCCCCGAATGTGGATCAAAAGTTTAGTGTTTATTAGGAAGGTACAAAAAATTCAGATATCTTGCTGTAAACTACATTCAAATTGGTGTGGTTTAGCCAGCTAGTGATTAAGTGTGCAGGCTCTGGAAGTAGTCTTTAATTTGAATCTTGATTTCATCACTCTTTAGCTCTGTTGACTTGAAGCAAATTACTTAACCTCTTCTATATCTCTGTTTTAGAATGGGGATTATACTTTTCTAGAAATGTTAAGATGTTTAAGTGAGACAGTCCATGTATAATGCTTATGTAACACCAGGCACATCGTAAGTTCTTTCAAAAGTCTATTCAGGTAAAACAAATAACACAGTATTAGAAGTAAATATGGTGCTTGTCTTTTGTGGAGAAGTAGTGACTAAAAGGGGGCTTTCAGCAGTAAAGTTTTTTCAAGTAGAGATGCTCATTTAAAATTTATGCATGCAGTATTGATGTGGATAGATGGCTAGACAGTAACAATGACTAGCAGATTGGAATTTAGATGGGTAAATGTACAGAACTAGCTATATTAGTAACAGATAACAAAATTTTAATTTTCTATACAGTGTTTTCTGATAAGATTAGGTATCTAGCTAGATAGAAAGAATAATGTGTTTCTGTTTGTTCCTTAGGCTTTAGCATAATAGTTTTCAGAGCTAGAAGATTTCCAAGAACGTTTTCTTAAAGTTCTTTCAAATTGTACTTGGTATTCTTCCAGAGGTAATGGATAAATCTTTGGTTCTTTTTATAGTTAAAAAGCTCTTCTGAGAGAAAAAAAGAGAAAACAAATTGTTAGAGGTGGAAGTAATGAAGGACTTTAGAGGTGCAGTTGACTACCTGTGAAAATTGGTGTTGAGTGCAGTCTTATCAAGGAAGCAGCTAAGATGGCTTATCTCTGAGCTTTCTTTTGAAGACAGAATTTACTGTGTGTTCTTCTTCCTCTTGCAGAATAACCAAGCAGATCTAGAGAATGCCACAGAGGTGCTCTCGGGTTACCTCGAACGAGATATTTCCCAAGACTCTCTGCAGGATATAAAGCAGAAAGTACAAGATAAGTACAGGTAAGTTTATTTTTAGTTGTTGAGCAAAGATGTCTGCCACTGGTGGTCTGGTATGCCATAGTGGTGAAGTTAGATGATGGTGAGACTTGGGTTTAGCATATTCAGTGACTGACCTGCTGCCATGTCTCTCACAGATTGCTTCCGTCCTTTGGGCATAGGGAGGAAATCAGCCATTTGTCCCACTGGGTGACCCTGCTTCTTCCATGTGGCTTTATCTATGTAGTTATTGCCCTGACAGGAAGAAGGAGCCCAAAAAGGGCAAGTGACTATTAGGATGAGGGGTGACAATAAGATGTTGGCCCTGGCCTAGGGATCCTGTGGATCGTGGCTCTTGGCAAGTGAGCTACCCAGACTTTTTTAAAGATTTTTTTCTAAGATTGGATTTTCCAAGGAGAGATTTACTTTGTCCTAGGGATAGATGATACTTTAAGAGATGTCACCTCTTAAGTAAAAGATGCAAAATGTTTGCTTTCTCACATAGAGCTCTTTCTCCAAAAGTTATTTTCTGGCAAACGTTGTTTTCTCTTTAATAGTAGTAGAAACCTCTGGGAATTTGCAAGACTTGAAAATTTAGTCCTGAGTAATATTTTCACTTTCCTTAGCCAATTAATAGCTACCGCTAGTACTTTAAGATTTTACAGTTGTGAATAAATACCCCCTGAAATTACTTCTTCCTAAAACTGTACTTACCTGTAGAATGATAAGATTGAATCAGATAATTTCTAAGCCCTTTTTATTGCTCTGGAATTAATTTCCCCAAACTAGAAACTCCGAAAAATACCTTTTGAAAATTAGAAATTGTCATGTCTTTACATCTAGACCTAAAAATATGCCTTTTAAAAACAGGTGCTTGGTTCTATGTCTGGATAAACTATAGGGAGCCCTACAAAACAAGTAAATGCCTCTTGTAAAAAAAAAAAAAA